CAGATTTACCACCTGTAAATTCAAAGTCCTTGGATTATTTCAAAATCCGGATTAAATTCACTCCATATCTTGCGTATACAGCGCCACTGTAAGACTGTAACCCTAAAATATCAAGGGTAGTGGTAGGACAATTAGACAAGAATTTTCTTGAGCTAACTAAGTACCGTTTACGATTATAGGTATACATTATTGTAAGGATTTGAAAGCTACAACCACTGTGTTTATACGTGTTAATGGATATCAAAAAATTGGCATTTTTATCAGAATAACATCCGTAGGAAATCGAAGAGGAAAAAATACAGCGTCAGAATTTATTTTATATGAAATAATAATGATTTTCTATTGAATTATGCTCTATTTCCGGTCAAAGCAAGACTGCCATACCTATTCATTATTCAGTCTTTCCAAATAAGGAAATACTGGCTAATGTTGCTTCAGTATTACAAACGTTTGTATTTTTGAATGATAAGGATGTCGGGTTACTAAACTTCACAGCATCTAGTCATCGTTTTATTACTGACTCGTCTGATTGTCCAACGTAACAGTTATCAAAGCTTCTTAATATCATCCATTGTGCTACCAAATCAGAGTTACAGTCTTACCATGATACTGTGATACTCAAGAATCAAAATTAATGACAAATCGTCAATACCTTATTTTAAAAAATCTCTTTTTTAGGAATGTCGGATTTTTCCACTTTGTACACTTCTTTAATGAGAACATTTTCTATTTTGAAGTGAAAGGACGCTTTCGTTCATTGGTATCGGGAGTTTTCTTCTAAGCAAGGTAAACGGACATACACATATATGACTATAAACTACATATTCACTGAAGCAAAAATGAAAAATACGTCTTAACCAAAAAATGATATATAAAGAGAACGAAATCATAGATATGGTCGCATTTCTGGTTGTTTTTCTATTCGTTGAGAGTGATGATATGATCTTCTATCGGAGAAAAAAATGTACCTCCCTCTTGGCTGTCTACTTGATGTTATAGATGTTATACGTACTGAACATATCGAAGGTTTAACATGTCACAAAGATCTTACATTCTTCTTCAATTTCATTTTCAGGTATACAAATGACATCATGTCTTCAGACAACAAGAAATATGTTTAAATTGTCCATAGTATATACCCATCTGAACTGGAAATCAAGGACCAAACATCAGCCCCCAACCTTGATCTTCTACAACGAAACTACCAAGGACAGCTTTCCACCTAGCGTGGTGATATCAATTTCCCTCTTGTGAATTTTTCAATTTCGGAAAACAATATTCTAGATCATAATTAATGTTTATATTGAAGATTAAGATGTTTGATTTGGTTTTGCCTGCGTCCATTTGTTTGGTTTTGTCTAACTTCCTGCCTTAATTTGTTTGATAATTTGAGAACGCCCTCAACATGTATGGTGATGACTTTATAATGCTATGTTGCTGTAGTATAATGTCGGGGGTATTTTACAGTCATCGTATTATTCCAATTGGAAAATATTCAATTTCTTTGGGCGATATGAAACCTGACGTGTTTGATGCGCGTTAGTGTGCCTGTTGGGTCCGTTGTTGTATACTTTGTTCTTATATGAGAACATGACATTACTTACTTTGATTGACAAAGATTTGCATGGCGAGTGTCGTCGATAAGGCTGAGGAAGCTTACTCTTCCGGAATACCTGGTCGTTCTCTTGTACTTTTTTCAAGAGTCTCTTAGTTAATTTTGTTATTATGTTGCCCTCGTTCAATTGAATTTGAGTTTGGATTAAGAATCTATTGACATGTTGCCATTTTCATATTTTTGGATAGGATATGTGCTCTCCTGTGTGCAGTTCAATCCTTTGATATCTAAATATTTCAAAACGTCTGAAACCCACACTTCCTTAATCTTGTTTAAAAAGATCATGTTCCAAAATTAAGTCACCTCTGACGAATAATGCAATGGAGACAAAGATCGAGCAATCAGGTACAATTCTTACATTCTACCAGCACAGCTGGAGACAAAGGAAATGTTTCGGTCGCCAGAATGATCACCTTGTAAAATATTGTTTCTTTGTGAGAGATATCAGATGTTGTTAATTCTAGATAATATAACTTGTATTTGTAAATAAAAACGTGAATCTTTATCACGGACCCTGCCGGTAGAATGGAAGAGCTGTACTAGCTGTCAACATTATGTAACAAAAGAGGCGACTAAGTCTAGAAGATTTTCCTTTCTTTTCTTTGTATTCCCTGGCTGTCGCGACAAATAGGAAGCCGTGAAAATAATACTTCGTGCTCCCTGGCTGTCGCGACAAATAGGAAGCCATGAAAATAGTACTTCGTGCTCCCTGTCTGTCGCAACAAATAAGAAGCCACGAAGATAGTACTTCGTGCTCCCTGACTATCGCGACGACGTGAAAGACAAATGAAGGAGCAATCGTTGAATGCCTCACATGCTAAGCAATGACCGTATTACTTACCACAAGTTACATGGTAAAACACCGATCATTCCAAACTTCAAATAGTACAGAATATCACTCAAAAATAATGATGATGTTCACCAGCAAACATGATGTAATTTTATTATCCCTTAACGAGATGGTAATGCAAAAGGAAGGTTGTTCATAGATATGACTAGTTTATTTGCTTTCTATTTTCATTTGGATGTTTTTCGTTATAAATATAAACGAAAGTCCTTTAACCGTGACGTATATATTGATAGAGAAATGTTTAGATGAACGTCAATCTTACCCAACGCTTCATATAGCAGATCCATGTATAGCAATATATATAACATATATCATCATAAGACCTTAGTGTTATTAGCAGGAAACTAACTGTACTGGTATATTCATAAAGATATGATATTTATAAACCTCCCAATTTTAAAGGAATCAAAATAGATCACGCGCCTGTCGCTTTACTGACATGACTCGTCATCTAAAGCAATCTGACGGACTAGATTATCACAATTTAGGTGTACATATTATTTCTAAATGAAGTTACTTAACAGGTGACAGAGTGCATGTGTTACGCATCCTATAAATATTTAATAATTCCAGGTTATATCGGCGACATTGTTTACTATGAGCCATGTGGATTTACGTCCGTCTTACGTTCTTATTTATCTTATTTCACTCGGTTGCTCTATCAGAGCAGAAAAAAAAAAAAAAACAAAAACAAAAAACGAATAAAAAAAAAAAAAAAAGGAAAGACCAACACCTGTTAACTGACTCTTCATCCAACCTCCGATTTGATAGAAAATATAGGGAAATTATGAACAAAATAAGGATTCACACTGACTCCAGAAAACATCCAAGGAAAATAAGACCAGGTGTTCCTGAAGAACAAGTGTCTTCTTCTCCATCGAAGATACCATGTAAATCATGATCAATGGCAGTAAGTGATGTCATGTGATTTTTTGGCAATCGCCAGAATCTCGCCAAACAAGTCCTTTAGTATCGAATCATTTTTGGCTCCAGTTGGCTAGGAGTTTTTCAACACCACCATGAAGTATAATAATACTCGTTGTCTATATCGTGTAAAATTGTTTAGTATTGGTGTCATTTGAAGTTCCTTTGTCTGCAGATTTGTCTGTGTCTGCAGACAGAAGCGGATATTTAAAAAATTCTTTCTTTTCGCGATGTATGAAATAGATGGAAGGTTGATTGACTAAATCTTGGTTTAAATTAACTATCTGAACAGCTTTTGATAGTGTTAAAATTATGTTTTTTGATAAAATATTCCAGTCATTGTCCTTATGAATTCATATGTAATATATAGTTTACAATTGTCTCTCTTGCTACGTACAGCAATTACCATTGCATTAGTTATTAAAATTAGAGGACCGGATATTTGCACCATTTAAACAACTGTTAATTAATTGTTAATTAATGTAGGTTTTGATTCTTAAACCGCGTTGACAGGCATTCATCTATATATCTCCATCTTTTGTCAAAAGAAAAATGGAAAGCGTACGGAGGAACAATTGTACGATTGTTTTTATTCATGTGAGGAATTATACAAAAGTGTTGTAATATTCTCCATAAGCGTTTTGACAAACAGATTGACATTATTATTAGTTTCACAACCTCATACCAGAGCAGAAAAAAATATATCATTACAACAAAGATTAGCTCGTTCTAAAAGATTCTCAGCGAGATGATATATTTGAATGTATATTGGACCATGTGAAACTTGTCAATTTCAGGGAGATGTTAGTGATTTCTGACTTTAGGTACTTTAAATTGTACAAGAAACGCACATGTCAAAACCACTTTTGAATACAAAACTGAGTAAACTGCATCACGGAGCTGTTTCGTCCTTTCAGGACTTGTCGACGATCTGAGTTGTGAAACCTAGTATGCGACAGAGAAACATCCAAAGTGATCAAAACAAATGAAGAAATATAGACGCACTGGCCCAATGATTCAGTAAAATTTGTAATTTTCATAAATCTGATCATTAATTCAGCGAGGAGTAATTCCACGCATTTTTCATCATAATGATACAGTTTGATGTTAACCAGCTCATATCTGAGACAATGACATTTCGTTTTTTGTTGTCACGGAGTAAAGAATCGAGGTGGTATTCAGAAAAAATGTAACAAACTGATAAATAACTTGATCCGAGATCAACAGATTTCACCACCCCAAGTCGATGACATAATTGATATTGATATGTATTAATAACACATTTGGTTTATGCCAGAAGGCTGTGTTCCCAGGTTTGGCATTATGTATAGACATTAGAAATGTTTCTCTGAATTCTTGACATATAGTCCATGCTGGTAATACGTATTAGTAAAGACAAACGTTTAAACAAATATATAAAAAAAAAACGGCAGAATAAGATATGAGAAACAGTATCGTATATCTTGGCATCTATTTCTCTCCAAATTCATATCGTTTGTTTGTTTAACTGATTTTGATATGATTAGCATAAGAATCATTCAAATTTTAACCAAAAGTACCTTTAAGTTAACGTTGATTAATATGCTAGAGTATAATGATGTATTTTCCCTTTTAGAGCGTGTAGTACTGGAGGATACGATTATTATAATCAATGACACTATTTAAGGATTCAAAGCAGACCGATGGTCCTATAAACCACGTGTTCTTCTGTCCCTGTAGTGTAAATATATCCCATAAAATGCCTGCTGCTACTTCCGCCGGTCCAAAGCGTGGAAAATAGTTCCATGTTTTCCTAGCTAAGACCAGACCATGTGTAATGCCGTATAAATCTGCATGTTTCAAAAATCCTGTGTTGATGTCTTCTGTCGACGGAAATGAATCCCCAAATTGTCGCACTACAATAGACTGATACAGTTCACCGTCATTTCCTCCCGCTATTAATCCGCGGCTGTAATTAGTTCCACGAATGTGGTTCAATATACTGTACGAATCTTCATGATACAAAACGGAATGATCTGTCCTTGATTTGATGTTAAACATGTAGGAGGCTCTTGGCAGGGGGCCACGCTTACCAAAATTTGTATCAATCAGGGATGACGTCATAAACGAGGGTGTGAGATGACTAAAAATCTGCCGCTCGATCCAGGACGTGTCCAATATATCAAGAACTTTACTCATATCCCTGGCAATAATCAGAAAATCGTACGTTTCCACATTCCCTGAATTTTCAATATAATTGTAATATATATCAATTCTTTCAGGAGTCCGAATGATGAAAGAAATATTCTGATTAAATCTAACATCAAGATTAGCCTTAGCCACAATTTCTGACCATAAAGCTGAAAATCCGCGTTCCAAAACGTAAGTGTCCCCAATGTTTGTTGGATCTACCAGTGACTCTAACATCCTGATCAACCGTTGCGGTGTGACAAACATCAAGGCATAAAACGCTGCGCTTTTATCTAGGTGACCATACCCCTGAGAGGTAAACAGTATTCGAAATAACGACTCTAATATAGTGATACGGTTACGTTGTAGAAAATCCTCGATAGTACCATTAATCTTCTGTATGTGGTGTTCAAGAGGACGCTGCATCAACGTACCATCATAGTCACCAAATACTTCCCTATGTATGTCGATATATGTGATCACAGCGTCGGATAACATTTTGAGAACAGTGACCGGATTCGAGACATTTGTTCTTTGACTGGCGTCAATCATTAAGTATTGCAAGATTCCCTCGTGTTCTGAAAAAAAATAGACAAAGAGAAAAATCGAGGTGTGTGAATTGCGTTGATGATATTTCAAAAAGGTGAATTTAATTTTTAGAAAAAAGGCAAGTAGGGTTTACATAACTTTCTCTAAACACAACATCTATACGCTGAGTTGCTTGTTTTGCAACAATAATGGGAAATGAATAATTTCATATTTAATAAATTATTGCGGATATAATAACGCGACATAACAGTGCACTTGGATAGATAAATATGTATAGAACAGGTTTCTAAAGACAATAGATATGCTTACGCTCACTGTCAGGCCACAAAGAAATATCGCCCAGAGTATGGACTGGGCCCATCCCAAAGTCCATAATCATTGAGAGGATGTCAGCGTTCTCCACTCGAAAGTGACCAGTCCCAAGTTCGTGACGCACACCTCTATGATATACAGTCAGGGAATCCCCACCCACGTGATCATCCGGCTCCAAAATAATCACATTGGTATACCCAAGTTTCTGCAGAAAACAATTCATCGTTAAATTGTAAAATATAATATTACAAAAGAATACCGATAAGTCCAAGAATCGCAATTCACACACGATAAGGAGAAAAACACAGTGAACATTGTTTTTCTGTAACGTAAAAAGCTGTTTAATCATGTGCCTGTTGTTCAATCCCTGCAATAAAGAACATTAAACTTCGTATCGAACAAGCACAAATGATACTCTCCACCAAAATTACTCTGACTACACCGATATTTTCTAATTACTTGATACTTAATGTAAAAGGTCAATATCTGCGCGATGTGGGGTCGTAGAAATCTAAATGTTGACATACATAGCTGAAATTTACAGAATAAAATTAAAGGATGGAAAAATATCTACATAAAAACATCTTTTCTATAACTTGAATTGTGTATGCATGCGTTCATAAACGTGATACAACGTAGAAAAAACATAAATGAATATTGTTCTACCATTTTCAAGCACAAAGTCTTGTAATTGCAATCTTAAAGTAACAAAACGTAAAGACAATACTATGAATAGCTGTTTGTTTCAGCAAACCTTCAACCTATAAGCCATGTGAACACCGGCTGCATCAGCCCCGAGGACTGCTATTCTTGAATCGAAGGATGCTGGACCGGTGATATTTGGAAACGCTTCGCCCCTTGGTTCGATTGGTTTGGACATCATACGGTGGATTCGGGGTAACTGAAGTGCTACAACAATAGATATTTGATTCCGTGCTGATTTTGTGTCGTCTGAATAGTTTAGAACGTATGAGGACGATGCTAATGTAAATAAAGGAATACACTCAAACAAACCTGTGACATTGTAGCATCATTTCAAACAGGGTCATTTAAGAGACCAAAATAGATCTGCTGCTCCTATTGTGACACTTGACCTTTCCAATCTGTCCTTTCTATAGTGCTTTGTATCACGATTATTGTGTATCTCATTACACCTGTACGCATATAATATGGGCTGTTGCGACTACGATAAACTGGGCGAGACAAAAATTGACTATCGAAACGTGGTTGAATAGACATCAATGGTAAAGCACAACAGTAAAGAAGTGCATTATATCACAAAGTTTGAATCCGACTTAATCGTGTATGTGTGAAAATTCAGGCACAATTATGTTTTGACGTCCATTTGTTGTGTTACCAAAAACTATCATTCATATTTATGCTTACAAATACTCCTTTCTGTCTTATGACATTAATTTAGTACAATTGTACATTTTCCTTTGTCAACAATGCCGAGGCATTAAAGAGAGGACGTGTACGATTTGGTGACCTCAGAGAATAGATAATCAAATTAATAGAAAGACATTTTGTACTTCTTCGTGAGTGTTTTGGAACTTTTATCTGTCATTTGTTTTCAATCTAAACTCTAATTCTATGTCGTACGGCCTTATTTGTTCCGTTTTGATTGTTTTATCGACAAAGCGCAGTGTTTATGGGAGTAAATGATGGACGCTGTGATCGCTATGATTGGCGCCTATCATTCGGTATGTATTAAGCTATGTGACAGTAAGTATCTACAGTTCTTTTGCACCAAAAAGATATTTCGTTTTATATACCTCTTTTAATGGACTCGCGTGTGCACAACGTGTCTTTCACAAAGTCACTGGAGTCCATTTCCTTCACACTTAGCAAAGCAATGTCGGTTTTATCTATGATAGTTTGCTGATTTCAGACTCTAACTCTGACAAGTATTGGGGATATTATGTATTCATTTGATAGTTTGGGACTTACGATTTATCCTAACAAGTCTTTTCTTTAACCATGTCAAATTATCGTTTTCTTCACAATTTTGTTCAAATTCAATCGACATGACTGTTAGACTGGTTTATGAGAAGGAGGCTAGTATAACAAAACATCCATCCATGAACTCGAGCAGATGGTTGGCACATGTAAGCTTATAGCAAGTGAACCAGGGGTAGAATACACGTCGATTATACTAGGCCTTTAGTAAAAGGAAAAACAATAGCGCATTGAGGGCATGTTATGTCGATAAAAATTATGTATCTATCTCGGCGTTACGTCAAATCCAGTGGTGGATCTATAATATCAAACAGGCATCCTAGTTCATGTCACGGATGGGGAGCAGTGATGAATGATACCGAAATATCGTTTTCTGAAAGAAAATCACACACATTTCTTTGAACGACTGGTAGCTTTCCTAACTCTTTCAACTTTCTGTTCAACAATATCCGACGCTGATGTCCGGCTGTATGGTATCTATCTGATACATTGATAATCAAGACAGGATAATGATTTGGATAGGTTACGGCAGAAAATGCGATTCTGGTGTATAGACAGAACTATTTGGATAAGTACTGGTCATAATCCCGGAAAAGCAAACTTCCAAGCAGATAAATTGCCTAGGAAACTTAACGACGATTTGGATTGGGGCATTTTTGTTCCGGGCAATTATAGTGGCATTCGTAAAGACACGTCTCACTTCTAGATTCAATCATAAACTGGACGGAATTGTGTCGTTTCATCCTGACCTGAATGGTTAAACAATAGATGTTTTTCTCTGTATTGTGGAGTTACAAATACGTAAATGATATTTTCCTCCTTTCAGCGTCATCGCCATGGTATTGAGGAAAATTCGGGAGGACAAATCAACGACAGTCATTGTTTTTAGTGTCTGGCCCGAGTTACATCCTATCACCACTGAACAAAAGCATTGATTCATAGCAGTAACTCGCGATCAATCCGCCCAGTACAAAACAACATGCAACAAGGTGTACTTCGTGTTTTGGAGGAAAATCATAGAAAATACATCAAATGTCCTACCCACTCAGCCAAACATAAACTTTACAGCCTGAAGTCACGTGATTATCTGTCATTTCATTCAATCCTTCACCATTTAGTTGATAATAGGAATTTTTTTATATGAAACTTAATTAATTCGTTTGATTTGCAGTAAACGTATCTACTACAAAGCATACGCGGCGTCTTGATATTGACAAAGCATTAGAGTATAACAATAAAATGTTTCATTTTGTGAAATTTTCTTGGACGCGGGTGTCTGTGAATTGTATACAATTTTAGTAGCATGATGTATAAAGTTGGTGCACCGCAGATATGTCTTTAAATGTACATGGATATTTCAAGATCGGTTATGTTTCCTCATAGTGTTATGACGCACAGTAGAGACAATGCATTACCTATAGCTAATCAATCGATACATGAATTGTATTAAAACTCAATCATAATAACATAATGCAGGTTTATCCCTAGTAAATATGAATACATGTACTATGCACCAGAAATTAAAAAGTTAATTACGATATTGTCATGCCAACATAAACAAAACAATTCATCAGTAGTGCCATGTGTCATTGCTGTCGCATGATAAATTGAAATCTGACCAGAGTCTCTTCACAATAAAACTGTTGCGCTATAGCTTAAAGTCTTGAGATTTTCTCATATTTGGACATTGTGTGTAAACATTTAGAAGAAATGAAAACTTGAGAAAGACATCTTTGAGAGCTACGCTACCATAACTTTAAAAAACCCTTCAAGTGATCATACAAAAGTATACATACTGACTAAATATGGAACATTATCGTCCCCCCAATTTTGAGAATAAGAATGGCAATCAGAATCATTGGCATGCTGTAGTATATATGAAAACTACTGAATATTTGGCCTAGTACACCTCCGACTCCCCATCTAGGTTTGAACATTTCTTTTGATCAATTTTGATTTTAATCAGTGGCTTCCTAGATATCAAATTTAAACCCATGTCAACAATGACGAGTCCTAGGACGACGAAACAACCATATGATGCAATTTAATGCATTATTTGGCTCTACTATCACATCCTATATTTGCGACATCTGTGCATGTACTGATACAGCTGTAGGATCGTTTCTGTACGTTACAAGATGTGCGATCTGCACATGAAGTGAAACAATGTACCATAGAAAGGCCTGACATTGATTACATAAATTGACCAAGACTTATATGGGAGTTGTCGCCGATGAAGCAGAAGACGCATAGTTTTCCGAACACCTGGTCTTATTCCCCTTCTACTATTGTCAGGAGTCTCCATGTAAACCCTTCTTTTGTTCATATTTTGATTATGATTATGTTGACATGTTGGTATTTTCTTTTTTATTCCCGAAAACTGTCGCATTAAGATTGACAGTGTCATCACCAATCTTTTTAACACGCCTATAATCGCTATTTAGTCATAACTACACAAGTTGTATTTTCAATTTGTATTAGACAACCATGTTTACCAAACCGCAAATAGTTATTCCATCATATTGCACAATTGCACGCTATATATACTATAGTGCGTGTGTGCGGATGATGTTTTCAGTTCTTTGTGCGTTAATTGGAGAGAGTTAACATGACTGGCACGTCCGTGTATACAAAGAAAAAAAAACCGTGTATTTATAGCAGTCATCGACATCTATATATTTAAATTGTTTGGTACAGGAATTTGTTAGTAGGTTAAGACATGAACATATTTCATCTATACCTCATGTCATAACTTCAACAGAATTGATAAATCATGGATGTTGATATCTGTAGGAGGGATGACATTTTAAAGATCTACGGTATTATTATACATACCTTCATCAAGTGTAACATCTTGAGAATAAGAAGATTTCAACAGACAGCAATATACCTACAATTGAGTATTAAAAGCGGATTTATAGAAATGATTTATAGACAAAAACTTCTCAACGAAACCTCATATATTAAACTATAATATGGGTAGGAGTGATAAATGAAAATTGTTTCCTGTTTTAACTTTACCTGTATAATATATATAACAAAACGTGGCGAGAATATAAATGTCAAGACAGTAAACAACCATACTTTAACAAGTCCATATTTACACTCACCACAATTGTGATACATAGTGACTTCCATAACCACATCGCGGAATAGTCTGTGTGTTAAAATGTCGAAACAAAATGTCTGAGGATAGAACCAGAACTGTCCAGACAAGCTGGCGAGTCCTGGTTAACTTTTACCGATGCAAATACTTGGTACAGTTACCACACAAATAAATGAAACCTCAAGTTACGTCTGCCTTTGATTCCGTTAATGTGCTCATGATATGCAAAATACGTTAATAACGTCAACGAACCTGGAAATTTAAGTTTTCGTTTATAAATGAATGATGTATTATTATGGATATATATTATGAAGGTTAAGGTATAATTATGAAACAAAAGTCAGTACTAATAGTCGTATACACCTATTGATCAAGATAATTAACAAGGAATGATCAGAATAATAATAAGTTATGCAAATCTTTTGATGTTACTTGTAAATATACATATGTTATCTTCATTCATCACAAAATATACTTGAGAATGTGCAGTTTACATGATGAAATAGGGCATCAAAACGTTAAATGAAAAGATTTTAACTGTCATTAGGAGTAAATTGTTTATTTAACATTGTATATAAATACTGTATAACATTTTACAGTTTGTTTGAATATCTGATGAATTAATTAGATATGCATGTTGGTGTCATTCATCTATCAATATAACATCGTTTATCATTCATTGTAGAGAGGTATTCCGTAATGTTCTATTAAATCGATGCTTCAGGAATCCGGATTAAGTCCTTGTCCGAATAATACAATTTGAAACAATGAAGTTATTGATTAAATATTATAGTTACCACCATACTCTCGGTAATATTCTATATGTTGGTGTGATATGACGTTACACGCCGAATGATGAAGATATTGAAAATGGTTTTCATTGAAAAACGTGATTGTGCTTATTTCAAGTATTTGCATTTACTATGATTTACTTGGCGGGTGTCGTCAACACAACAAAAGTATGGGTGGTACACAGAGTTGACAAATCAAATTCCCTTATCGAAGGAAAGTTGTTAGAAAAGGGTTTTGAAGGTTGGTCAAGAGCTCTTTGAAATCTTTAAATTCCACATACTATTAAGTTAACTTCTTTATTAAACAATATCACAATGAGATTGTAACCAATATCTAATAATACTAAGAATAGTAGTAAGTAGTGTTGATAAATGTTTGGTTAAAAAACTAGACGACTCAGCACCATAACGTTGTTTATATGTATTATTGAGAGGTTTAGGAATCCAACATAAAAGGAGGATGTCCGTATTCGTATCATTGATAAATCTAAATGATTGTTATACTGCATTATGCATAACCAGCATTACTGTTTTTAGATTATTTCATAATGTGTAGATGGGGTTTCCCTTCTTATCAAGCCAGCCTAATTCTTTTACAAGATATATAATTGATAAGTGAGCTCCATGAAAGTTTTTTGTCTTCTCCCAATTTGAATTAATATGGTGTGATATTTTGTGTTCTAAAGTAAGTATTTTAACTCTGGTTTGTCTTCTTCAGTGAATGTTTTAAGTTTTTTTTTCTCCTAAAGTGACTGAGTTTGTTGTGATGTTCTATGTTTTCTTAGTGTGATGTGGTCAGTTTAGAATGCTATGTCAACTTATAAAGTGATTAGTGTTGGTTTGATAAGTGATCGAGTGATAAGGATTTAGGTTTACATACTTACCTTGTTTAGGGAACTAACATTTCACGAGAAGCTATGCAGCACTATCTACTGGCAGAAGAAAGATAACTCATATGATGTAAACGATTAGTCAATGATCTAAGTGTAATCAAAAGAGTTTGAATTCACAAGTACCTTTTCTTAAGAACAGCACCATTGTTAGATCGTACACAATTTGGTGTAATCACCAACTAACCTCATCGACATAAGGGAGATTACCTCATATCCACAACATATCGGCAATCAAGTGTCTGCTTGTTAAGGATTTATGCTAACTTTTGAACGGAAGAAATAAAAGCGAAACGATTCGGGGTTACATGTGAATGTTTTAGAGGCAATACAATATCTCTAAATGAAATTACAACCAAATACCGTAATTTCATTTCTTTCATCCAGAAAAAATGTTTTTCTATGATTAGGATGACAGACATTAAAATCAATAGCATTACACTTATGACGTGTAAAAGTACCCATTTGATAAGTATAAACAAAATACTGTAGGAAAACGGCAGTAAAAGATTTTCTTTACAGAAAGAATGTAAGAAAAACAAATTACTAGGATTTGTGTTATTCGACAAAACACTCAAATATCCCAAAGGGTTTTTTTCAAACTATCATCTATTTAAAATAGATAATATCTAAAGCATTTCCATTCGAGATATTTAAACGAAAATATTGCCATTTTGTATTTATCAAACATTCAATGTGATATTCTATGAGACCCGTCCTTTTTTCCTTTGATAATCTGCTTATTGTTTGATATCCGTAGTAAAACGCACGGTAATAGAACCGGGAATTGATAAAGACATGTAGAAATGACTGCATTTACATAATTACACGAAAAAGTACAAATACAATATGTATCAAAACAGAATTACAGTTAAACTTTAACAACTATGATTGAAAGGTAATGGTCCCATTGTTTCGTGGTAACCTTACAGTCAATGGTGTACCTGTCCCTACTATATAACTCCAGCTAGGTTAGTTCGGTCATGAGACCGTCACGTGATTTTAACATGGCGTTTTTTCAAGGCCAAGAAACCAATATACTTAAGTCATGACATAAAATCGTGACCACAAACCACCTTAACTCAGTGGTGGATGTTCGATTAGGATGTGACAGTGTGGTATACCCGAAGGACTATGTGCTAGATGATTCTGTGTCAGTTTTCTTAACATATCTGGAAACATATCGCTGGTGAATGTGTAAGTTTATTGTATAGTGGAAACATTTACTTAACGGATGTCTCGTTATCCTCCTTAATAAACAGTTATCTCGAACAAACAGATGAAATATCAAACAATGTAACTGATTTGTTCATTTGATTAAAGATAAGTGTTTTTTCTTGTTTTTTCTTTTTTGTTTCAAAAGTTTCTTTCGGCTTAAATCTTTATCGATTTTTTTGCAGAAATTATTAAAAAGGGGAAATATTTATTTTGTCGATTTTATATTTAACATTTTATTTTGTTATCATATCACTCCAAATCAAGGTCAATACATGTTAGAAGATAGAGCATTACAACGGTGTATTTAACCAGAAATAGTCTTCTCAAATTTGTAAAACTTATTAAAAAAAACAGGTATCATTGTAAAAAGATATAAAAAAAATCTTGTTTTTTAAGAAGTAAGCTGTACATTTTTTATTATTATTTCATAAACTACATAGACATTAACTAAATGACATTGGACTTTGAACGAATGTTCTCAAGGTCTATCATCTAATACTATTTTATAGGATGTTCTAGTACATATCATACTTGGCATATCCCTGTAAATGATCGATACAATTTAAATACAGAATCAGTTCTCTACAGGAAATATAACAAAACAGGTAATTTACTTATACGTACTTGAGTTTCCATCTTAACACAGCGGCACAATTGGTAGGCGTACCTGTACCTATTTTATGCCCAGATATACAAGAGTTGTCGCTCTTTTCTCTCTAGAGCTGTACTGAGTGACGGATTGCATCAGCATAGTTTTATGTTTCATCATCATGTACTGACGGACCTGAAACGTGTGTATCAACGTTAGTTACTTCTGGATATCATTCTGGATATGTATTTCCCGTTGGATTTATGTGATGTTTCCTGTGACATGGATGTCATTGTACGGATGAGAGGAAATATGTGTTATATCGAGTTCAAGGATGGTGGTACCGGATATACATGTGTTTAAAAACAAGTGTTTATCGCAGTGGTTTAGTACAGAGGTAAAACCTGAAGAGCCACGGCCAAGGGTTTTCGGACCATATGAAGAAAGTATGTGTTTCCCGACAGGTAGCATGATAAACGTCAGCGACGTTGTGTTTATAAACAAGTGAGGTTTCTAGTCTTTTGTTCCGTACGTATATGTTTATTTCAAATGTAAAGGAAAAAAAGTTCCCTCCTTCTTTTTCACGGTTGATTAAGCGTGCCTAAGAAATTTGTTTGTAATAGGGGAACATTTAATCAACCCTGGGCAGGCTTTTACAACAATAACATTCATTGAAATTGTTATTTACAAGCAACACAATGAAACAGAAATGTTTATGTTGATTCGACACAAAGCTATGTTCAGTTGTACGAGACAAATAAACAGCAGGCCCCAGCTGCTCAAAGTTTGGTTAGAGTTAACAGGGGTTTGTGATCAATTCTAATCGATGCTACTAATAAGACAGATACTTTCCTAACGAATGTGACAATACAAATATACATCCGATCTTTCTCAGTGAGTTCACAGTTTTGAAATTATGTTTCCAATTTAGTTTAATTGATATATGTTTTTTTCTATACCACCAGGTTTATTATAAGTCTAACAACACTTTGAGAAGTAACAGTGGATAAGACGCTATTGACAGAACAGACAGGTACTAAACAGTAATGTTTTCATACCTTTTCATAAAAAAACTAGATTTTTTTTATATATTAAGCGTTAAATTTCGTAAACATTTTTTTTTATCAAAAATATGACTATATTATTGAAAATCTTACATTCTAGAATATTGTGTAAAGTGCGAAGTAAGTTTTTTGTTAATATTGTAGGTATGATGAGTTACACAAACGGAGGAATCCAAATCTAGCAATTGTCGGTAATCTAAAAATAAGTTTACCGACCAGGTAATACTCTACAAGTCAGAATTACCTTGATTTGTTTACAGATCATTTAACAAACTTATTCATTTATATCCACCGAAACAGGAGAATAACTCCTGATAATACAAATTTAGAGTTAAATAAAGTAACGACAAAAATCAATTTAATTGCACAGTACAGTTGTTATGTCGTTCTAAGATTTATCAATAACACTAATGGCTTACATTTGAAAACTTAGGGGGCAATTGAGGAAACATCCAATGTGATCGATAGCAATGTTAAAATCTAGATGG